TATAACACTAACTTACGTGTCAATAATACTAAACAGTGTGTCAAAAACCAAGAGTCAAAGTCTACTTTTGAGAAAATTTTCTTAACATTTTTCGTCTAAAATTTAAAATAATTTTTTCAGTAGTGCACACACTCAACTTTGAAAAATGATCTTCGTCGAATTCTTTTTTTCGGGATCCTAGAGATCTCGAGTTCGTAACCATTTATCGTAGATCATGCGATTAGTTTTCGTTAGATACTATTTATATTTAATTTTAAATTTTAAATTTTAAATAATTTCTGACCGAATGATGTACGATGAATGATTATGATCACGGAATTCTTAGGATTCCCATGAAAAGGGGATCCTTTATCCTCAACTTTATACTTAATTATGAATTGTCTTATTATATAATAATAAAACGCGCATCTTTGTGTGAACGGTCCAGGTGGAGCCTGTCTCAGCTGTCTCCCGCCTGTTATGCACCACGCCTCCACGCGCCACTGCTGGCATTGACAATGCCACGTGATCTCCAGACTCCTGTTTACATCAGCACGAAAAGGCGTGTCGGCGATCAGAAAGTGGAAGCCGGCTTCCCTCTCGTACTTTGCATGGAGAATTTCCACTCGCTGCCACGCCAGCTCAAAGCGCGTGGAAACAACCACCTTCGGGTTACTGAGTTGCATGCGTCGGAGACTCCGGAGACATGTGAGGCTGGAGCAAGATTCGGGATCGGGGGGCCCACAATATCCCATCTCAACAGGCATGTCAGTGCTCAGTGTCTTCATCCTCATGGACCATGTGCCATGTTTCTACTAACTGATCGTTGCAGGCTTTCAGGCAGTTGCACAAATTGTCCTTCTCTTGAAAATGATCTTAAATCATTGGCGACCATAGAACGAATTTCAGGTCAGTATTTCAGATGGTATATTTTAAGTTCAATTTTTGGTGTTGGTAAATTATCTGATGGTGGTTAATGAGAGGCTGAAATGCCTCATTGAGTCTTCTTAATCCTAAAAAATATAAACTACCGCGACGAAACCACCAGCTAATCATTTTAAAATTAAAAAGAAGAAAATGATGTTAATCATGCTCTTGTGGTACGAACTTAGTCTCAATTTAGTTGAAATTTTTATCTGAATTAAATCCAATGGTACCTAGGTTCACTTTGAAATTCTTTTATGCACCTAAGTTTTAGTCATAATAATAGTACCGTTTGATACTGTTTGTCACTTGTTTAAAACTTGTACAATAAATGATTGCCGTATAGTAAATTAAGTACATAAGAGAACATTTTGTTGCCGCTTTAAGCGATGTGCACATTTGGTCGAAAATGAAGGGTATGGTCATGAAATTTTTACTACACGAGTAACATTGATAAGCCAACACCACATACGACTTTGTGCAATCTTGCAGAAGTGCTCTATCAGTTAGGTGGAAAGAAGTGGAATTTGGATTGAAAAATTGTGTTTGTAAAAGCAGGCAAACAAAAGTAGGCAACCAACTAAATAAAAGGAAAATTAATGAAAATGATTTGAAAACTTTGAGTTTTAATGATAAAGATAACATAAAAGGTAAAATGAATAGTACCATGATTGACTTTTTAGTGTAACAATATGATTTTTCGTTAAAGTGAACAGTACCATGAGCTTTTCGTTAAAGTCCCTCTAAATAAAAGGTTAATAATTAATTCAACCAAATCATCTTTACTTTTTTTTCAAAAAAAAAAAAAAATAATAATCATCTTTACTCAATTCAAATGCAACATTTTGGACCAATTTTTTTACATTTGGATTCACATCCTTGTCAAGTCTCCTAAATTTGTCTTAGCTTTCACCATAAGTTTTGGCCACTGAAACCATCTCTGCTTCCCATGTCAAATTACCAATTAAGTTGCGGCGGATTTCTTTTTCTTCTTCATTTTCTTCTTCAGCATCCTCCTTAGAATCTTTTTCTTCTTCTTCGTCTGCTTTGTCTTTCCCGTCCTTCTTCTAACTTTCTCTTCAGCCTTTGCATTGGCGCATTCTGCAAGGCGGAGTTTTTCCTCATTCCTAGTTGGCTTGAAAACCTCAGTGATCGAGGGGTCCAACAAATTGCTCGAGCAGCGAAGAGTGATGCCCATAGCCACGGCTTCATCCCAGAGCTCTCTACCCTTTTCAAAGTCCCCTCCCCTACAAAACTTGGGAATCAGCACATCATAAACCGGCCCATAACCTCCCAATGCGCTTGCCTTCATTCTTTGAAGTAGCTCCAGAGCATAATGTGGTCTATCCTTGCCAACGAGTACACCAATCAAGTCATAGTAGAACTTACGATTCGGTTGCAGGCCCTGTTCAAGCATCTCGTCCACCAACTTATTTCCTTTACCAAATCTTCCGGACAAATACAACACTCTTACCACAAGGTAATAGCTAACGCTATCCGGAGAGCAACCCGTCTTTTTCATAGTCTCAAGAATGTTACAAGATTCCTTGACTCTTCTTGTTCTTCCCAAACAAGAAAGCAATATATTGTAACTAATGGAATTGGGAGAAATTCTATAAGACCTCATCTCAATCATCACATTTAAAGCTTCAGGAACTAGTCCAGATGGATTGAGCTTGAGGTTTCTCTCGCAAAGGGCCCGAAGGAATGTGTTGTAGCAAAACAAGTCTGGCATAATCCCAATCGACTTCATTTCTTTGATGATCCTTCTTGCTTCCTTCACATTCTCCTGCACAGACCATCCATACAAAAGACTTCTGTAAATACAAGGCTCTATACCGGCAATCTTATCCCTGTGGTGCAAAACAACCCCTTCTGCTCTTTTAGCGTGCCCTTGAGCGCAAAGCGCATTGACAATGGCAGTGACTGTAACACCATCTTGAGGGCACTTGTACTTGTCCAAGTTCTTAAACATACCCAATGCCTCATCTTCCTTCCCCAACTTGACCAATGCCTCAGTAACAAGACCAAAAGTTTGAGCTTCCATCACCCGGCCCGCCTTCACAAGATCAGAGAGTACAATGTTCATTGCCGTGTGGTCCTTCTTCTCTGCGAAAACCCGAATGCCATAGTTATAGTCCTTGTCTTCTAAACCATAACCCAAATTCTTATGACACCAGGAGAAGAACCTGAGCAACCTTCTAGTGGGTGCTTCGCTTTTGCAAGAATCGATTACTTGGGTCACAATCGACGATGTTAAGGAAGCCGAAAACTCATTTAGACTCGATTCCAAATCATCCAGACCGCCAATTGCACTCGAAACAATGGTACACAGCTCTTGCAGCTCGGGTGGCGAAGACGCAGGCAACATGGTAGAGTAGTAAAAACACGAAAAGAATTGAGATTTCTGAGTACTGACTGCATTTTGCAGCAAAAACCTCTGCCATTTCGATAGCAATACAGAACGCATTTTCTCTGAGGAAATTCGTCGAACACTTGGAGTGCGCTATAAAACGCTCGAACCCTACATGGGCTGCTAGCTGACACCAAACAGAAAGATTACTTAACCCATGTATGTAACGACACGTTCAATACCCGCCCTTTTGTGTGTAATTCAACGCAACAACCAAGGGCATGATGGAACACTAGCAAACTCCCAGACCTGCAGCTGCAAGCCTAAAAATCCATCAGTTTGTCCGAGATTGATCCACTGATTCAACCTCTAATGCAGAATTCAAAGTTTGATTAACAAAAAAATTGATTAATTTAGGCACTAATCGGATTCAGGAGTATTGGGTCGGTGGTGGAATTGAGATCGAGAAGGATGAGTGAGGTGTTTGAGGGGTACGAGCGCCAATACTGCGAGCTCTCAGCCAATCTCTCAAGCAAGTGCACGGCTGCCACCGCCGGGGGATGGAGGAGGTATTCAAAATTAAAATCTCTGAATAATGAAAAGCAATTGTCTTCTTTTTTTTTTTTTAATAATTTTTAAATTTTTTTTTTTAAATTCTCCATTTCTTTTGTTTGAAGGGGTTATTGGAGTATTTATAGGTGTGTGTGTGTAGAATGCATGATAATTATCGAGTAGTTTGGAAATGTTTTTAAAATGACAAAAAACGTTTTTAGAAACATAATAATTACAAACTTGTTTTATTGATGTTTTTTTGTAAGAAGCACTACATTAGTTTCTTTTAGGATTTACTTGCATTTTTACAAATAATTGGTCCAAAAAACAATTTTACCAAAAGCGTCTTCAACCATTTTAGAAGAACTTTTAAACAAGTCGTACATTTTCAGATGCGAAGTATATCAGTTCGTTAAAGCAGTGATTTTAAACTTTTATTTTACTAAGATATGCATTTCTAAAAAGATTAGAATAGTTGGTTAAAGCAGTAAATTCCTAAACAAAAGTTGCATTTGTTTTTGGACTTCTTTCTTTATGTCGATTTCTCGAGTCTCTGAGCGGTCAACAGTTAATGTCAAGTGCAATAAAAAACGTTGAATTGTGAATCGAAGCATGAGGTATTGGTTATAGGTTAGGCAAATTGGAGAGACTTTAGAAGGTGCATAAATGGTGGTGGGTACTGGCAATGTGAAATCTTGCTTTGCAGAGCCAAAAAAGCAGATAATTGCAGAGGCAAAAAGCTGGATTAGAGGATGCAGATACTATGGTATGGCATCAACTCCGCTTAATTTCCATTGTTTAGATGTTTGTTGATTTCAAGGAGAGGGTTGTCTGATTAGGACAATTCTCACATTGGGTGGACTGGAGTTCCACGTTTTTGTAAGAAGTGTTTTACGAAGGGCATGGTCGGAACCTATAACCAAGTTTTTCTTTCTGTTTATGATGTTAGATTAATGATTATACCGTGTCGAAAAAATATCCAGCTTAGATTAATTTTCATTGATTAGATGTTTGTTGCTTATAAAGAGAAATTTCGGTAGGATTGTCTAATTATGACTCTCTCACACTAGGTGGACATGGACCCCACGTTTTTGTAAAAAATGCTCTACAAATGGCATGATCGGGCACCTTTACCCAAGTTTTTCTTTCTATCTATGATATTAGATTAATGATTATACCGTGTCGAAAAAATATGGGTTTACAGCCAAGTGTGAAGGCAGCTTTTCTTGCCAAGCTAAGAGAATACAAAACTGATTTGAACAATTTGAAGACCCAGGTGAAGAGAATCACATCACCTGTTGCGAACTTTGCAGCCCGGCATGCGTTGTTGGAGCCCGGAATTGCAGATTCCTTGACGGTAATGCATTATCTCCACACCTTACCTCTATATGCATGTCAGCTTGTCAAGATTTGTTGTTCATAGGAAGTTTTGGTTATGTGACAGACATCGAACGATCAACGAGGAAGATTGTTGATGACGACTGAGGTTGAATCAGTCGACGGACAGAATCAAGGAGAGGAGAAGAGCAATGCTGGAAACCGAGGAGCTCGGGGTCTCAATCCTCCAAGATTTGCATCAGCAACGCGAGTCACTTCTGCATGCACTTGTTGCTTACGTGACGAGAGATATAGGAAGAGGGGGATATATCCACAGTTACATTAGCTACTCTCCGTTGAATTAGGGTGATGAGAATATGAGATCGTTGAGGTGGTAACCCTAATTTCGTTTATTTGTATTAGCAGCTCCACGGGGTGGATGAAAGTTTCAGCAAGAGCAAGGTGTTGGCTGCCATGACGAGGAGTACCGAGCGGGAACAAATGGATCGTCGGCTCCATCATCGGAGTCTTTGCCGTTGCAATCTTGTTTATCCTATATCTTAAGATTAAAGCACTGGCTAGCCTACGGGCTGGTTTGGTATTGCTGTGCTTTGAAAAAAAACTGGTTTTGCTGTTCTATGAGAATAAGCTCATTTTTGCTGCTTCATGTTTTCAGTTTTTTTTTTCATCCAAAACTATGAAAATAAACTGTTTTTAAGTGTTTAACAAACACCTTTTTGAACTCAGCTTTTTTTTATACCAACTTTTTATAAAAGCACATCAGTACCAAACCAGTGCTATGGCTCCTGCCTCATCTAACATTATCCTCTGTGTGTTATTTCGTTCTATCTTTGCAAAATTTGGTGTTGGAATGAATGAAAGCAGCCGTGGATTTGTTTGAGACGAACAGCATGGCTGGGGATGGCCGGAAAAAACAGTGTATATCGTATATCGGGTGAAGACAGAGGGCCTCATTTCGGCAAGTCACAGATGTGTCTTTCTTTTGTTCTACAAACTGTACTTTTTACATCAAATAGGCACAAAAAATCTTCCAAAATTCACAGAAATTATGGAAACAGAACGAGAGTGTGAAATCTCAAGCATAAAACTCCATGGTAATAAGAGAAAACACCGTTCTCGATTAAGTCATTGTTTAAAACTTCTCCATTGACACACAATCCAAAATCTCAAACGTTACAGAAGAATTCGGAAGTTGAACCCATTTCCGTTTGGATTTTGGACATGGAGATGAATCATGGACGAAAGCTTCCCGACCTCAGTAGTTCTACATCGGGTGTCTTTTGGGCTATGCTGTACCTCAGGAAGATGGACACAGAGATACCTTACGATGATCGGTTCTTTGATTTTACCGAAATAGAATCAGTAGCTTGAACCCTGAATCAATGGCCTTCAACCCATACGACGATGCACCCAGTATGCATCAATTAAACTGAGCCACCAATCCCCACTCATCCACATAGGTAACATTATGCAGGAACTTTAAGGAGCACCATCTTCCGGTGAGGAATCCCTTGATGCAAGCTCCTCGTCGTCCCTTTCATCCTCCTCATCATCTTCAACAGATGCAGGTTCGCCGTTAAGATCCACATTTACACCATTTAACTTCCTCACAAACTGTCCCCGGACACGAGGCCTCCTTTCGGCAAGTTTCTTTCGATTTACATACCTGATCTTTTTATCAAAACACCGCTCCTTTCTTTTTTGCCTAAATTTAATCAATGCTGCCTCCCTTCTGTCAACCTTATTTGGATTCACTTCAGTGGAAGCTGAACTTCCAAATGAGGGCCATGGCTGAGCATTCGGCATTTGTTGACCAGGATGCATGCATATACTATAATAGGGGAACGAAGCCATCCCATTTATGTGTGGAGGGCAGCGCGGAAGATGATTGTATTGTGGCATCATAGCATGATTTTGCATGTCTTGCAGATTCTTTTGATAAACTTGGGGTGACGATGACATCATAACTTGATTGACAGCCCCCGGCATATAATATTGATAGGCGGCTTGGGCAGGTAAGCCAGAAAAATCATGTTGAAGTTCATTTCTTGGATGTGCAGGCACTTGAGAGGATCTGTCTTCCTCAAAACTTCTCTGATGTTGAAGTTCCATTGATCCAGACGGGGTACTAGACCTCTCCAACGAAAGAGAATCTGGGATACTATTACTACTTGGCAAGTCATCTCCCTGTGAGTTGCTTTCCCACGCCTCTCCATTTCCATGTACTTGGGGATCATCATCAACCACTTGGTGGCAAACAAATTCTTGATGTTTCTCTTCTATCCTCAAATGTTCAGTGGCAATGTCTTCAACATGGGCAACCACCTGGGAGTTGATTTTAAGTTTGCTTGATTTGACATAGGTAAAGAAGGCAGATGACTCGCCAATGCCAATCTTTAGTTTACTCTTTCTTGGGGCAGATAAAAACTTTCCTGAATAATATAATCAGAGAAAATGGAAAAGGTTACTTAAGCGGAAAAGATGAAAAATGTCATGCCGAAAAACTATTCTTCTTAAAGATAGTTTTTGCTTTACTCAGATTAGTGAAGTCGAATTAATGATGCAGCTAAGACACAATAAAGTCTTAGCCATACATGATGGTGTTTCTAGTGAACAAATGTTCAAAACATATGATATAACAAAATTTCTCAATGTCACAAGTGGCTCACCAGTTTGGTGGTCACTTATTCCTGGATCATCAGGCTGAAATTCTGATATTCTCTTGACCGGAAGCCCCATAGCAGCAGCAACAGCAGCAGACTGAAAAATACAATTAATTAATTAACAAGAAGATGATAAAGAAGAAGAAAAGATTCATCTTGAGTCCTAAATGAGTTTTCAGATTCTAATATCGGTTTCATCTCAAATCTCGTTAAGCATGAGTCAGTTGTTCCAGAGTATATGATGTAGAGGAAAATAGAATAACAACTAAAGAGATTTGTAATGAATTAAATTTATATTAAAGTACATTCTAAATATTGTGATTGGTTAAAATAACATCTCCAATGTGCTTTCCCAGATAACACGGCCCTAAAACAGTGGGATCACACACCTCAGATAACTTCATATATGTATGCTTCGGTAGTATGCTTAATCTACAATTCTATTCTCCGACAACTACTTCATTTAGAATTATGCACTCTTCTAATTCCATGTAAAACCGTTTCCGTAGCTCCCAAATGAAACTCAAAACAACGTATAAAGTAGACATTTGACATTTTGCATGTGTTACATATGAGACCCCTCCCAGACCAATACAACGGTAAAGACTTAACACAGATCCGGCGTCAGTGGAGCTAATAGTCTCACAGTGATGAGTGAACAGATTTTTTAAGTTGCATACACTTAACAATCAAGCTTAACTCTATATTTAATAAATATCTTACATGACGACCAAAAAAAACTTTAAAAAGAAAATAATTAGTATACAGTCACCTTATCTTCCTCAGGAGCTGAGGTTCCTGTCTCGGGATTGCCAGATTTATCATCTGCGTCATCCGAGAATAAAGTAGTACTGTTCGTATTGGATCCGCTAGGGTCTGATATCACCAGATCAACATAATTTATAAGGTTCTTCTCTGCCAGCCCAAGCTGCCAAATACAGTAAATAAAAAATGATTAGTTACTAATTTGAGAGGATATGGTAGTATCCTAGTGCACATGCATCAGTTAGTAATGAGGAACTTGAAAAAAAGAGGTATTACTGATGAATAGACGTGGCCCCTTGAAATAAAGGTTACGAACTTTAGCTTCAGAAGTGAGAAGGCAAGTAATTTGGTTGCATGCTTTCTTCTGAACTATCCAAGATAGTAGATGCACCTAAGAGGATATATAAAGATACTAACAGCCCAAAAGAAACATCAACTCCTACATGACGATCACTTACTGACTTGCTAGCTTGCTAGGCATCCCTACTGTGTTTATTTCTATCAGCAAAGATTTTGATAAAGCAAGGGGCAGGAGAAGATTGACTGGTATGGAAGAGGGGTGTGCGGGTAATTACAAGAACAGCTCAGAAACAAAAGCATCAAAGTCATGCAAACAAACCATGCGCCTTCTTCTCCACATGTGCGTCCACAAGTTCAGAAGCTCATTAGTTCGTAAAGGCTTTACAAGATAGTCTGCTGCTCCAAGCTTCAAGCACTTCACAACAGTAGAGACCTCATCTTCTGCCGACATCACTGGCCAAAAAAAGGTTCAGCAGTGAAGTTAAGACTATAATTTTCCCTGATAGGAAATATTTAACATTAAGTGAAAATAGTATTAAGAAAAGACATGCTTACTGATTACAGGAATGCGCCTTAACTCTCTGTCCCGTGTGATGTACTTCAACAATTTCATGCCTTTGCGCATTGGAAGGTCAACTTCGGCAAGTATGAGATCGATATCAGGTCCCTCTGCATTCAATGCATCAATCACCTGTCGAGGAGACTTCACGGAAATAACTGTAAAGCAAAGAAATCACGAGTCAGCAAAGAAATCAAGAGTCAGAATTGAACATACACAACATCTTCAAGCGTTGGCTTCTCATCTTGGCCTTCCTAAACCTTGTCGCACTGTTCAGGTGGCATGTTTAGCATTACTCTTCACAAAAAATTTACTTATTCGAATAAATTCACACCATCTTTCACCTAAACTCTAAGGATTCATTTGGAAACTCGAGAAAGTTAGAAACGATCAAACATCCACAACGACAATCAATTCACAATTGGCACAACTCGGTGCACCTTATCTTTGTAGATTGAAAACAAGAGACACCACAAAGCAACTCTTAACTTTGTTTTTTCCTTTCTCAGGTCATCAAAAAGTTAAATTTCGGATCAATTCATTTACTATCTTTCACAGAATTTTCCCTCCATTTTCTTAGAAGCCAAACAAGTGATAAGCTTTAACAATTTCCAAACTTCGAAAACAGAAGATACGATCAAAGTAATGAACTTTTACAAAAATAAAATAAATAAAATATGTTCATACCCTGGTAAGAGCATTTCACAAGAAGCGTGAAAACCTCTTCCGAACTGGACCCGTTGTTATCGCACAGTAAAATCCTCACTCTGCTCCTGTCGATGAACCCATCAGCACCACCACCACCGCCGCCGCCACAACCTCCACCCCCGCCGCCACTGCTACCAGTTTCATAGTCCCTGTTCAAATTCAGCTCCTTCGGCTCCATATCAAAGCAAAAGCCCCCAAAAACACTCCGATTCTACAAAACCTCCACAACTCCAATCAAAACACTCACCGTTCCATCTCCAAGGCCGCAATCAGAGTCCCAAATCAGGGTTTTTCCGGTCCCCAATCCCCAACTCCGAGCGCTGACTCCATTTCTCAGTCAAAACCCCCAAACCCCCGTCCGTACAACCACGGACTCCAAGCGAGCTGAGACTGTGAGATGATCGGAAGGTTCGGAATTTGAGACGAACGCGGAAGAAGCTGATAGAATTAGATACTTAAATAGTAAAAGGAGTTCCGAGTTCGGATCACCGGCCACCGCGGCGCACGTTAGCACCAGCCGAAATCGGTCCGACTCGGCCTCCGAAAAAGAGAACAAAAAACCGAAAAAGAACAGTTGGCAGAAAAAAGTGGACTTTTAAATAAACTCTCAGTCCACCTATCACCTTCTATATCAACATAGTGGAGGATACGCGTCACGCCAGCTAACGTGCGCGTGGGGGTGTAGTGGGCGTAGGATAAAGATGAGGAGAGACGTGGAGGATTGGACCGACAGAAAAGAAAAGAGCAAAAAGGTGGGCGTATTTGGTAAAGACAGTGAGGACTCATTTTTTTGTTTTTTTTTGTTTTTTTGTTTTTTTAGTGTTGACATGTGAACTGAAGATTTACAGATGGTCTGATTAGAAGATGTGATTATGATATAGAAGTCTAAGGCAAAAGGGGCAGAGAAAAACATTGCTAAAAAAAGATATAGAGCATTTGAAATTGCCGGAAAACTTGGCATAAAATCTAACACAGTAGCGTTCTAAGATCCATACAACCGACCTCAAGATAAAACTTTGTTGTTGTTTTTCTTATTTTTTGGCTTTTCCAAGAGAAAAAAACCATATTTTAAACTGTTTATTTTTAGTTATTTCTTAAACTGTTTTTATTCCATTTTGGGAAAGTGAATGAAACACATGAAATTTGGCATATGTTTGCTTTTATTGTCCATGCATCAAATTGGCAATGAATTGATAACTGCTTGAGTTTTGGTGGGGATTAAGCTCCAATATGATTATGTAGTTTAAGTTTAGAAAGTGGATAATCAGACTAGATTATAGATAATTAGACCACATTATAAGATAAGTTGTTGGATTGTATTACAATTGATTAAGGTGGACCTAAAATTGTCTAAATTGTTCACACCAGTAGAACAAAACTAAAAACGAACTAAATAGTTCAATTTTTACATTAAAAAATATGTAATCCTAGAATAGAATGTTAAAATTTCTCAACTTCTGATAGTAAAATTTTTTCTCAACTACTGTTCAGTTTTCCGCATGAACTAACATAAATAATATAATATGTAATATGTTCTGAATGAAAATAACCGAACGAAACTAAACTAAACCAATAATTGAACGAACAGTCTGGTTCTATTATATAACTAGTTTAATGCAGGAACTAAGTCAATATGAACTGTAGTCTTATATTGGTTTAGCGCGACTCGAATTTTGGGATGCAATGATGAAGGGGTAGAGCTTGCACTACCTATTTGTTGCAAACAAAAATTTAGAAGTGGAATTATTATTAAGGAAAATTAATGAAAAGGGTTTGGAAACTTTGAGTTTTAATGATAAGGACAAAATAAAGGGTAAAGTGAATAGTACCATGATTGACTTTTTAGTGTAAAAATGTGGTTTTTCATTAAAGTGAACAGTACTATGAGCTTTTCGTTAAAGTTCCCTTATTATTAGCCCTCGAATATTCTTCCCGTGTATTTTAAATTTTTTATATTTAAAAAGAAAAATATACTTGTAGAGAGTATGTTGTACCTTATTTAGACCTCATTCTTTAGTCCATGAACTATGTAAAGGGGAGGGAAACCCTAATCCTACAAAGGGGATCCGTCACCCTTGTCTTAGGAGAGCTCTCATTCAAAATCTCTAGCCTCTCCAGGAAATCCTAGCCTCTCTACTCTCTTAAAGGTAACAAGTCTCCATGTACAATGTAACTCTTATTTAGTGAAATCAGATCTACACCAATGTGGACGTAGTGACGCAGTCCCAACTTGAGGTGAATCACGATAGATCTTGTGTGTTCTTGTGTTTGTATGATTTTACGGTTAGATCTAAGCTGGTTTAAGGTTGATTCGACTTTGTACATCAACTGAGTGCACAATAATTTAAATCCCCTCTCCGTAGTTAGGTTAGTTTAATGTAGACCATCGCTGGAATCATAGAAAACATAAGCAGAATGTCTGCATGTGTATTGCTGGAAACCAGTAGAAAAAGAATCATACAACTTTATGGGAGGGGATGTAGCTGCTAACTAGCCTATACTCTTCTTCTCCAAGATTTTATCTCCACATGCTATTTTACCAAACTGATAGCACAAGCAGGTGTCTGTCACATCCTTTACCACATCAAGTTTCAAGCACATTAAGCACATGGATTTCCATCTAAAAAGTTGAAATTACAAAGGACATGATATATTCCAGAACCAACGTACGTAAATCTTTCGCACGCTGAGAGTTAGGGGGGACTGGGACCATCTTACAGTACCATGACATGGATGAAGCTGAGCTGCTGCGATTGCCTAACCAGTCACATTTGTAGCTAGCTTTCCTACTTTCCCTGTCGATCAACAAAGCTAACGCGATATGTTACGGTACATGATCAGAAGTTGATCTTGCTAGAATTGCTCAGTTTCCTTCCTATTTATCGGGAGTTCAGTCCCTCGTCCACTAAGAGCACCAAAAGATCTTGCCATTTTACTCCAAGAAAGATAAGATTAATCGGACATTTACGCTAAATGTAGGAGATATGTGCAGCGCTTTACCATTTGAGCGATAAGTCCTTGCTTCTAACATGTAAGGAAAGGTTTGTTAAGGGCGTTGTCGAAGTATCTATGGTTATCGGTCAACAAACTCTCTACTTATCAACATTCTGATAGCACATGTTATCGGTCTCATTGCCTAACCAAAATTTATACCATTGCAAGTAGGCGAATATGTGACGGACATTGACGAATTTGCTCACAACCAATGTTTCAAAAGACGAAGAACGTTTCATGAATAACCCTGTCTAAGTGAAAGCTTTGCAAAAACTCTTATAAAAAGTGAATAGAATGGAAGATAGTGGGGTAATAATTATCAGCAAAATGAGATAATAAATGATAGGAAAGTGGGGTAATAAAAAGTATAGAAAAACAAAAAGTGAAGAGAAAGGAAGATAGTAGAGTAATAAATACCAACAAAGTGGGTAATAAAGTTTAGAAAAATGAAAAGGTAGAAAGACAAAAAAACCCTAGCTATCTTCATCTTTTTCGCTGGGCAGACTCTACAGCTCAAAAAATTCTAGATTTCTGCAACTTAAAAATGAAAAGAGGACGCCTCAGGCATGCCCCTCGAAGCCTAAACGAGTATTTCACCGACTCCCACAAAACAGAGGCAAAAACGTTAAAGCCCCGCTTCCAAGGCTGCCTAGGCATGTCCCAAGCCAAGTTTTTTAAAACACTGCTCACAACTCATAAATCTAAAGATCTGCTAAATTTGTAGCCGATTTCAACTAGTCCATATGATAAAAAATCATGAGCAAGTTTTAAGACGATGAACTGATGATGCTTATATGTAAACATTCAGGCGCTTACTATGCAGCTGCTTATTAGGCAGCTTGGCCAGGTAAGCTGGAAACATCATGTTGAATTTCTCTTCTTGGATGCAAACGCAGTTGTGAGGATTGGTCTTCCTCGAAATTCTTTTGACGTTGAAGTTTCATTGATCCCGGTGGGGAACGAGATCTCTCCAGCGAAAGAGAATCTAGGTCGACACTGGTACTGCTCGGCAAGTCATCTCCTTCCTCTCCACTTCCTTGTACTTGCGGATCATCAACCACTTGGTAACCAAGTGCTTGATGTTTCTCTTCCATCCTCGAATGTTCAGCGACATTGTCTCCACTGCGGGCAATCACTTGAGAGTTGATTTGAAGTGTTCAGCGACATTGTTCACCCTTTTTTGAACGTCCAAAAGAAATTGGTCCCTGCTTGAGTTAAGCTAGAGAGAGAATCCTTCTTTTCGTAGCAAGAATAGTTGCTTCATCTAACTCCTCCTCCTCCTCCTTCACAGTGGCCACAGCATGCTCGAAATTGTCCTTTGGCTGCTTCGGATCTATATTATTACCAGCGGCCTCCGTCCCTAAGACTCATTTTGTTTGATTTCAACTTACACCATCATCACCAGTATCAATCTTCCTTCTATATTATGGTGATACCAAATTAAACGGATCTTAACGGGTACGCTTTAACAATCCGATGGGTTGATTTGCCACCTACCCCATCAAATTAAGCATATGAATATGAATAAGGATTATGAATTTTGAAGGTTTGATTAAAACAGGGCAGGGCCTGCATGCAGGAGGAGCCGTCTCATAATCTGGTGATCGTTCTAAAGAACAAGGATTATGAATTTTGAAGGTTTGATTAAAAGGTCATTTTTGGCTTTTATTAGTATAAAAGTTTACCTTTTCCGTGCTCACAACCTCAAATCTCAAGGTGGGCCCCATCATTTCACTTTGTTTACAATGATAAGAGAGTTCTCATTTTCACGCCCCGTTTTCTCTTTCTGCACTCATTTCCAATGTTTTGGTTGTTTTATTGAATTTGAATGATGAGACTGATTACGATACTTGCATGTATTCGATACAATTATGATTTAACGGCTAGCATAACTCAAGCGAATATATATATTAATATAATCACCATCTGACCATCATAATTGTATTAAATACATGTAAGTATTATAGCCAAATCCTTGAATGCTAGGACAAAATGAAGGATTGCATACGGAGAAAAGCTGAGTGCGAAAATCATATTTTCCGTAATAATAACTTCATACTAATAAGATAAATTGATCAGATTGCATAGTCAAAGAACATATATGGTAGCATAAATTTTTAATAACAAAGAATTAACATTAACACATGCTTGAATTACATGTCACAACCATCAGCATCCCCTAATTTCCACTTTTATTTATGAAATTGAAAAACTAATCTTCTGAATATGTCAATCTACTTGGCCAGATTTACAGATCAACTTCCCCACATCAAATAAATCAGAGATCCAAATTCAATTGTCAATTGGAATGAAGAATCAATTTCTTTGCCACCAACCTAATGCCTGCTCTCTGCTGATAGTCGTACGGATCCAAGGAGAAGAACGCATCCATAAAAGTCCCCGGTTTGAAAAGGGTGCTAAGTTCCGAAGAATCAAACTTGGTGAAGACGAGCCTCTGCTCGGTGCCCGAAGGCTCTTTCTGATATATCTCTGTGGCGTATATTGCAATATCCCCACATACTGCTGTCGGTATACTGCAGAAACAAATTATACAAAGAAACAGTACATAATCAGATGAGTCCTCCTTTTGAGTAGCCAATAAACTGCAGTAAAATTGTGTTTTCTTATGTGTGTGTGTGTGTGAGAGAGAGAGAAACTTACTGTAATCTCACTGTAGGACAGTTATAGAAACCCTCGTTTCGGAAAACAGCACGCCTCCATTCGGAGCTGCTACCAGAATCCATAGACAACTTTTGTGCAATGCCATCACATGCATCAAGAACTTTGCACAAACTTGGTGATGCGTAACCAACAATATTCAATCGTGGCCGGCCAGCATGATCAAAATACTTTCCATTGATTCCAAACCGCAATTTCATATGCCTACAGCAAATCTGCAAAGTTACATCTTTGTGCAACAACTTTATCCTCTGACTACCGCGATACAACGGAACAAGGGAAGCACAGATAGAAGGAATGGAAACTTCATCAGGCTGTAAAAACTCCACAGTGCCATTGGAGCTCCCCAATGCAGCAGGTGGAGAACTCTCAATAGACTCCTCCACAGGTATTTCTCTCAATGTGATGTCTGGCTGATTAAACTCTTTCATCACTACATCGCCAAGTGGGCCCATGTCAAAGGGATCTGGTCGAGCTGTGCTCAATTCAACCAGATTAGAGACTTCTTCGGTATTGTTATCCCTAAGAGATATTATTGGATGATTCTCCCCTGTTCTTTGATTTGTAGAAGATAACATCTGACCATTCTCATGCTGAGTATTCATGTTTATGCGAGCCCCCTCAGCAGAAGATTTCCCATCACTACGACTTCTTGTGATAGCATTTGGAGAAACCCAACTGTTCTCCGTGAATATGTCTGGGAGACTCGACTCCTGTGAGTAGATCAGACTATAGTTAAGTTCTTACTTTTGATATATTTGGTGAGTTGAGCAGCTCAACTTGAGCTTCAAAAGGTCTAACTCAAAGGATGTGAGCCAAGTACTGTTTTAAGAATATTAGTCTTATGTCTAATCTCGAGCCTCATACTGTGCATTATGACCCTTATAAATAAAGAAACTACACATTTCAAAATTGAAAATAAAATACAACTGATTTATAATCTAACATGGTAACACCCCGCCCCTTCACGTGTGAGCTCCTCACCACCATTAGAAAACCACATGAAATTCAATAAATGCTTTGTTATTCAAGAATGAATGGGTTCACCATTCCTTTCAAAATCGAATCATTACCAAGAATAAAACGGTTGCACAGTATTTCAGAACTTCAAGATTCATTCGAACATCATCCAAACTCCTGACAAACCATTACATAAAAGATTAGTTCAAGGAAACCAAATTGAAGGCAAGAGTAATTAGTTTAAACTTGAAGTACGTTTCCAGAAATACCTGTGTTTCTGCTGTCCAAGCCCGAAATAGGTTGCAAGAGTGGCCATCTGCGCAAAATAATACGTGTCATGTATGTATAAACGATTAACATTCACCAAAATCACAATTCCATATTTCTTTTTGTCCTTTAAATATGGATTTGAATAATTTAACGAACTTATTCGGATCAAAATCTAACCGGTAACATTTACTGACAGATGGAGAGAAAATAAATACCTTCATGTTACCAGCTCTCCTTCCGAACCGCTGTGTCAACAATGCCAAGGAATCAATTGTACCTTTCGGTTCTGGAGCAGGCCGACCAATTTGTGTGAAAGCCTCCCGAATCCGAGCACAATCAAACCTCAGAATGTTGTGACCAGCCCATATACGTCCTATACAAAAAACAACCATAAAATCAAATTCCACTCATCAAAACTGCAAATCAACCAAAATTCTTCATACCATTAATGAAATATGAATCTCAAATTATCCATCATCGCCAACAACCACAGAAATGAAATCCAAAGCAACCCACAAAAATCAAATTGAGCTAATTTACTTGCATTGCATCTAATTTCCTTCCATTTCTCGGCAACCAGACACACAATCAACCATAAATATCAAACCTTCATGTTAAAATTCAAATCATTCGTACAAAATTAAAATAAAAGTCCAAAATTTAGCTTCTTCTCTTCCCTCAATTTTCTCGGCAGCCAAACACCCAAACGCATAGAGTTAAACTGAGAAAACAAAAACTAAAGGCAAGGAACTAACCGTGGAGAATGTCGTAGACCTTATCGGCGATGTCTTGAAAAGAAGGGGCGGCGACAACGGCGTCGCGGGTAATGCCGTTGCAGCGCACGGACAAGGAGTTGATGGCGGAGAGGTCGGCGGGTCGGACCAGGGTGGAGTAGCTGTCGAGCTCCACCAGCTTCCTAGGGCAAACGAGAATCGACCCGAATTCCAAGATAGCGAAGCCCTGCCGGGGTCGCGTCGGCACCGTCGTCTCCACGTCGAAGAAGGCTATTTCGAACCGGTCCTCGCTCCGACTCGCCATTTTTTTATCTTCAGCGGTTCAACGGTTTTGATTTGGTGCACAAATAATAACCTGCCATGCCAAAACCCAAGCCCCCGCTTCTATATAAACTAGCTGTACAACAGGGCCTTTGCTTCCTCGTTAAGTTTTGGTTTCATTAAACTTTGGGCGAATCTAAAAGTGACACGAGGAGAAATTCTTGTGTCCGTTCGGAGGGTTTGTCATCCATTTATCTACATATGTTGAAGGGACATTTTGAGTTGAGATCATTTCCGAAACTTATTGTCCATAGCTCGAGGATCAATAAATTTAAACTGTTCAAATTAATTTCAACAGTTCCATTAACTCATACTATTGATATACTTCACACAAATCAAGGGTTCGAATCTCTCTCTCTTGATTGGTTCAGATTTGATGGTTCTTAGGCTCCAGACAGTGAGGTAGGAAGAGGAACTCAACTCCTTATGTATATAAAGTTTTGTTTTTATGATTTTAATAAAATTCATTTGTATACGTGTCAGACTGTGATTTGCACATGACAAATAAAAACGTTGGTATTTCATGCATGAATAAAGGTAGGTAATATGAGTAAAGAAGCAATAGGGGAATGTAGGTTTGGTATCTAATTCCTCGCCTTGGTGTGTGACCAAAGCTTGATACAAAACCCTAACTGCAAAGCCACATGTAGCCCCATTTCCCACGTCTAGTTGCATTCTTTGTAATGCAACCCCACTAATTACAAATACAAAGAATGGTAAATCTATTTAATTTACAAAGAGTTTTAACTTTAAAGGGTAAAAACCTCTAGAGAAAATTGAGGACATGCTTATGTTCCGAGAAAGGGGACATCAAGGTGGCAATGTCTCAAACTTATCACGCGTCGCCACATGTTTTAATTTTTCCATGCAGCGCTCCCGTTTCATGCAAGCCCTTCGAGCTTCTGTCGGATTTACCCTTCCAGTCTTAGGGAAGCTAAGGATTTTCTCTTTTCCTATTCTTCAATATGGAAAAGCACATCTGATATGTCTGGTTTAGTGATCTCACCAAGCATCTCGTAGATCAAAGATCCATCCTTATGGGTCCTATCACCTGCCACAAAACTATGAACAGCTCCATTGATTTGAACCCAACTTCGACCCGGGGGCTTTTTCGCGCCCATCTTAACCATTTTCTGTCTCACACAAGCAACATCTAGCCATCTTTTAGCGGAGGCATACACGTTTGACAAGAGCACAAGATATCCTGCAGCCTGGTCAGGGTCAAGTGTAACTGTTAATTTTTGAGCCGCTTTTGATGCGAGTTCAGCGTGCTTGTGAAGCCTACAACCGCCAAGGAGAGCACCCCAAACAGCTTCGTTTGGATTCATAGGAATACTCTCCACAAGCATATGCGCTTCATCTAGAAAACCTGCTCGGCTCAAGAGATCAACCATGCACCCATAGTGCTCAATCCTCGGGGTGAGTCCGCAAGATTGGGTCATGAACTTGAAAAGCTGGCGGCCCTCCTCAACTAATCCAGCATGGCTACAAGCACACAGGACACCAATGAAAGTGATTTCATCAGGTCTTACATAATCAACTCCCGAGCTTAGCATCAACTGAAAGATACGAAGAGCTTCCTCCCCGCGACCTTGTTTTGCAAATCCAACGATGATGCTGGTCCATGAGACAGTGCTTCTTCTTGGCATCTGCTTGAATAACTTATAGGCATCATCAATTAAACCACAGCTGGCGTACATGTGTATGAGTGCATTGTACAGAGTCACCAACCGTGGCTGCGACTTCATCCACAATTGCTCTTCGATGTACCAGTGAATCCACCTTCCCAGTTTCAAGTCCCCTATTTCAGCACAGGCTGATAATGCTGCCACTAGCGCCACCTGATCCAGTTCCACACCGGCCCTCCTCATCTGACCAAACAAAGACAAAGCTTGCTTACACCTCCCACTCTGAGCACACCCCGCAATCATGGTGGTCCATGAAACAACATTCCTCTCCCGCATCTCGTCAAAAATCCTCCGCGCCCCATCAACATCCCGACACCTTATATACCCCACAAGCAGCGAATTCCAACTCACAACACTCCTCTCACGCATACCATCAAACACCCGGCGTGCATACTCAACACCACCAGCCGACCCTCCACCCGTCGCATACAAATTAACCAAACTGGTCTGAACAAACAAATTGGAATCAAACCCACTTCCCAAAACCCTCCCGTGCACCTGTTCCCCTTCTCTCACCAACCCCGACCTCGCACAAGCACTAAGAACATATGAATAAGTAAACCCATCAGCCTCCGCCTCCGAACCCACCAGCCGTTTATACAATTCAACAGATTTCCGCGGAGTTTCGCTCCGAGCGTGGCCTCTGATCATCTGGTTCCACACAGTAGTACTTGGGTTTTCGACATTTTCGAAAACTTTGCGGGCATGATCGAGACACCCAGAAGCAACATAGAGTGATAAAATCCGAACAAGAATGTAGCTTTTTTGTGTGAGTCCGTGAATTGTTATTTGGGTGTGAATTTGGGTGAGTTTTTTGATCGAGTTGCAGCTCTGTAGTAGAGAGAAGAGGCGTTGTTGCAGAGCTCTGGAGGTTGTGGGGTTGGCGGGAAGGGGTTCCTCAACTGACATTTGAAACCCTTCTGTTTTGTGAAAGCAAAGCAAAACAAGGGCATGTAATTAACATTTTGCAAAATACTTTTCCGTTCTGCATGCAAAAACATGTTAAAAAATACCGCCAATGTTAGGGAGATTAAATTTGTAGATAAAATTTATAAATTAAATGATGTGTCACAAATAGATATGAACACGTTTATCAACGCTTAAATAATAATTCAATCATCAACTTTCATGTCATTTAGACCATGTTGTATTGTCATTTATCTAGTTACGTCAATACACTCAATAAAATTAGCATGTGAGTAATATATTTGAAACTCCGTTTTGATCAGTGTAGTTTCAATTGTGTCAATTTATATTTTGTAGTTTATTTGATTACATCAGTACATTCAGCAAAATTAGCACGTAAGTGGCAAAAAATTAGCATTTAAATCTCAATGCAGGAAAAATATTAATAATCATTTGAGTTACAAACTTATTGTAAATCGTGATATTTAAAATGTAATACTCATAATCAGCAAACCTTTAGCTTCGACTTTAAGCATACGCGAATAAATCAGACCAATGTCTCAGAGATCTCTTGCACTTAAGTTCAAATCTCCATCGTAAAAGTTCAATTTTCCCTCCCATTAGTCTTAAGAATATTGTTTAACACTTGAAACTATAGGGACGACGCAACACTCTCATGAAGCAATTCTTCCGTCCAAAACACACACTCGTCTTCACCTCCTCCACTTCCACTTCCACTACCACCATATCAAGACCATTTTCTTCTTCCTCGTCTTCTCCGGCATCCGATTCCAGGAGCACCATTTGCAACCCGAGCACTGGAGCTCTTCAACTCGGCCGCGGCAAAACAAGGGTAGCGAATCCATCTCCGCGGTTTCATCTTCCGAAAACCCAACTCCGCACAAACCGCAAACAGCCGAAAGCAAACCAGACACTTAAGAGATACCTTAAATCCAACTCCGCCACCAAAGCTCTCTTGCTGTTCCGAGACGTACTGCGTAAAAGTCCATCCACAACGGATACCTACGCTCTCTTGTTTGTCATCATCAAAGCTTGCACCCAAAAGTCCGTCTCGAGGGAAAGCAACTGCATGCCCTTGTGCTTAAATATGGATTTGAATCCATATTTTACCTGCAAACTTCTTATATGAACATGTATTCTGCGACAGGTGATGCTGTGAATGCACGCCTGGTGTTTGATGAAATACCCTCCAAGAATGTAGTTTGCTGGACCACATTGGTTTCTGCTTATGTCGACAACCTAACGAAGCTCTTCAGCTGTTCAGGCAGATGCAGATGCACAATGTGGAACCCGATCAAGTTACATTGACGGTGGCTCTCTCAGCGTGCGCTGATCTCGGAGCGTTAGAAATGGGAGAGTGGATTGACGCTTATGTCTGTCATAAGCATGGGTTTGATACAGATTTATGCTTGAACAATGCGCTTGTCAACATGTATGCGAAATGCGGGGACATTGGAACGGCGAGGAGATTGTTCGACAACATACGAGAGAAGGATGTTATGACATGTACATCGATGATCGTGGGGGCATGCACTACATGGACAAGCAGAAGAAGCGCTTACCCTTTTCGGAAGAATGAAAGAAGCAAGTAAAAACACCAGGAAGAACAAGAAGAATGGTGAGTTTGGAAGCGCCTTAGTTGTCCCTAACGATGTTACTTTCATAGGAGTTTTGATGGCTTGCAGCCACGCGAGGATGATGGAGGAAGGGAAGCGGCATTTCAGAAGCATGAGCCAAGAATACGGGTTGAAACCCCGCGAAGCTCATTTTGGGTGCATGGTGGATCTGTTCTGCCGAGCCGGGCTCTTACAGGAAGCTTATTACTTTGCTCTGAAGATGGCAGGGCCTTCAAATGCAGTGGTGTGGAGGACTTTGCTCGGCGCATGCAGCCTCCACGGAGACATTAAACTTGGCTCGCAAGTTAGAGCCTAGTTATGCTGGTGATGATGTTACTTTGTCCAACATCCATGCTGCCAAAGGCATGTGGGATAGGAAGACGATTGTTAGAGATCGAATGAAGCAACGAAGGTCGCCGGGTTGCAGTTTGATTGAGGTGGGAAGGAGTATCAGTGAATTTGTTTCGGCCGATGTCGACCACCCTTTGAGGACTGAAATTTATCAGATTCTTCGGCAGTTGATTGCAAGTATGAAAGCTTACAGCTACTCTCCGGAGCTTTCAAGCCTAAACGGGTGTTGAAGGGAGAGAACAAAGATTTAAAGCATTTGTACTATAATTCCATATGGTTTAAAACATCCTTTGCACTCTTCATTCTCAAGTCACCCACAAAAAACTTTTATATGGCATGAAGCTCCGTAAATCGGTAAAAATCTAAACTACTTATTAATAAAATCTTCTCGTATTTTAAAAGAGAATAAAAAGATAATTCCACCTTAATTATAAAATCTAAATTCTCCTTCCGCTCTGGCGTTTCCTCTCTCTCAGTCCCTCTCTCCTTCGCATTTATCTCCAACTTTTCTCTCCCTAATTTAAAAAAAAAAATCCGTGCAATTAAATTTTCCAATTCCATTATTTACAGAAATGGTATTTTCCCAAATATTTAATATTTTATAATCTCTCCGTTCCCTGTACTTGATTCCGGACAACCGGTTCTCTGCAGCAGCAGCAGCAAAAAGCCCCCCACTTTCGACCAATCCGCCGCCGTTTTGACCCGCTATGGAGAGCGTTGGGCTTCAAAGAGTTGGAGTCGTTCAACGTCTTCCGCTCCTCGTCGTCAACTTAGTTGCTGGGGCTCTGGTTTTGCTTTTTGCTCTTGGTATTTTTATTTTGTTTATTTTTAAAGGGTGTTTTAATTTATTGAAATAATTTTTTGTTGATTTTTTTTTGTGATCAATTATTTTGGTTGAATTATAAATGCCCCAGTGTGGAATTTGATAATTTTAAATGTCTATATAATTGATGTTATTGTTCCCATAAATTCAACGTTGCTAATAATTTATGTTTTTTTTTTTTTAAATTAATGGAGTTTGATATGCATTTTTACATTTTTTTTTTCTTGCAGCTGGATTTTTCACAGGAGGTATTGCTGGTGCTTTAGCTGGGAAGGCTTCTGATAGAGGTGTTGTACGTGGAGCTGGATTGGGTGCTGTTGCTGGGGCTGTGCTCTCCGTCGAGATTTTGGAGGCGTCGCGTGATCTACTGCGGCTAGGCCGCCCTGGCTGGCGGAGATCTTCATTGATGGTGAGCTATTAAGCTCTGAGGTATCCGTTTCTCGTTATTTATTTCACCTGTGTAGCTGTTATGATAGAATGTGACCTGCCAAGAACCGGAGATGATCTCGTTTTTTGGTTAAATTGAATGATCCATGGTTTTAAAAATGTGAACTTCAACAAAAAAACTCGCGGTATTGTTCACTTTAACGAAAAACCATATTTTTACACTAAAAAGTCAATCATAATACGATTCATTTTACCATTTATTTTGTCTTTATAGTTAAAACTCAAATTTTCAAACCTTTTTCATTAGTTTTTCTTTTAAAAATATGATATTTCCGTTGAAGCCTATAACGATGGACGCATAGTTAAGGATATGCATGCATAGTGTTGCAACTACATAGTTCTGTATCAGTTTTATGGAAGTAGTCTTAACTCTTCATCTGTGGACCGAGTTTCTCTTTTTCCGGTCATGCAAAAATCACAGAGGAGCTTATTTGTTGGAGATTTGAGGAGGAAAACTTAGCACCGCCGGAAGTGGTAATTGCTAACCAGGTTTCCACTCTTTTTTCCACATGCTTTAGTTTACAAAGCAATAAATAAATTTCCAGTTTAGTTGGATGATAGCAAATGGTTTTGCAAGTTTGTTGTTGGATTCAGAACCTCAGCCTCCGTCCTGTGCTTACGAGAGGAAGGGGTTCCCCGGGGACTGGTGCATCTTACCAGTTTTATTGTTTTGAAAGTTAATGATGGAACAAGTTTAGTGATCAAAACTGTGATGTTCCTTTGCGCAATTGCTTTTTATCTGATTTTATGAAGCTGGAATGAGCAGGTTACCCTTGCTAATCTTCGTCATGATGTCGATGGAGGAGCGGAAACCAGAGGGCTGTCAAGGGATGTTCTGAAGAAACTACCATCTGATGTGATCTTGAAGGATACCAAGGCAGCTCGGGGTTGCTGTTGTACGATATGTTTGCAGGTCGTAACTCTTTCTAAGACGACTTGAACATTTTGTCCGTTTTAGTTTGAAAGTGTTTGTGATAAAATAGATAGATACATTCACATATTTGGAAGATTAAACTATGGTAACTGGTTAATCAATACTCAAATCTTAATATTGTTTTCATTGATGGCGGAAAGCAATCATGTTTATGAATCCTGGTGCGGGTTCAATCCCCCTGCCTCCTAACAACTAACAATTTAACTCACTAATGCTATCGTTTGTCAACGAAAAAATCACTTGTTTTCAACTCAAGGGGACACTATCTGAAATCATAACAACAACAATGTGGCTTCTGCAGGATGTTTAAGAAGGAGAAACTGCGAGGACGCTGCCCATGTGTCAGCATACGTTTCACTTGGCGTGCGTGGACAAGTGGCTCAGCAGACACGGTTCGTGCCCTTTATGCCGGCGAGATTTGTGAACAAAACACAGGTTGATTTTTATCACCAAGGTCTTTCGAAGTAAAGTTTTTAAGAAAAACTAATGAAAAAAGCTTGAAAACTTTGAGTTTTAATCAAGAAGACAAAAAAATGTTGAGTAAATAGTACCAGAAGTGACTTTTTAGATTAAAAATATCATTTTTCGTTAAAAGTGAATAGTACCATGAGTGTTTCGTTAAAACTCCCAAGTTTTTATCCCCTTACTGTTTATGTAAATTCAGGTTTTAGATTTGTGTAAGCTGTAAATAGCTTAGTCATAGTTTGTGGTGAGTATTGAAGATGTTCTTGTGTATTTGCTCCCTTTAGAGATGGACCGGATATTGAACAAGAATATTTTATCTAAGAAAATTGAACAAATTTTTTTTGAAAATATAATAAACTGAATCTTTTGGCATGTGTGATGAATATTCCTTTTCTGATCGTTGAATTGAATCGAGAACGAGGTCCTGTGTTTGATTCTCTCGGGGTCGTGTGTTTCATTCTATTGGATCACAGTATCTTGTTTATCTCTACTATATGATAAACTTGTTTGTTGCTGCATCCATCTGAGATTCCCTAACAGGTAATTGATGTCTTATCTGCTCAATATGTTGATTTAATTATCATAAAACATTTCATGAATTCATTTGCATTGGACCATCAAAATATCCTCAACAACTCATCTTGTTGGAAGCATTGTATGCGACAATGGTCAAAAAGAGGTTGAAATATTTTTGTGAGTCTTCTCGGCCCTTAGTAAGGTGTATAGCAATGATGAAGTCACCCACTGACTCCATTTTCGACTCCTTTGGGCCCTCAAAGTCCAGTTGGCTCATGGCCCATTATACGTCGACGGAGAATTCTGAGGTACGGGTGGCCATACCACCTCACTCCGTCCGACCCACACCCACTCCTTGATCCAGCGTTAACTTACGAGTCGTGATTGAACAATCACGTGGTACGGACATCCGGACTAAAGAACATCTCCTACTGAACGGTTTACGTATATTAAGGGAGGGAGGACTCGACACTGAACTTCGGGGCAAGGATACTCCTCTTAATTACTTGAGCTACAAACTCTTGCAGATAACGGCCGAAACTGCTTTTAAACATTTTCACCAAAAACGCTTTCAGTTATTTTAAAAGCACTTTCAAACAAGTCCAAATATTTTAACAACCATTTGTTTGATTTTAGACTGGATAAGGAAAACGATCAAAGCAAGAAAGACAAGAAAAATGCTTCATTAAGATTGGAGTGATCTCTTACATACATAGCCAAGGAACTGGTACAGAACCTATGTGTCCTAGGCGAACCGCAGGCTTAGTTGCTTATCAGTTTCTCTGCATTTTTTAGTACAAGACATATTGCACGAACCGAAAGGACATCCGAGGAGAAGAAGATGTGATGAGTATGCTTCCTAGGTCGGACGTAAATTTCTGCAAAGATGTGGATTAACTTATTTGGGTTAGTGGTAAAAAATTTCAGAACAAAACCAAACTCGTGCTTCAAATAGCCGTTCATCATGTGCGGAAATTCAAGTCCATCAACCATATGAATTTTAAGAAGGCAACTTATGCAGCTCGTCGGTGAAAGGACTCAAAGAAAATGCTTGTAGGTTTTCGTATATCAGAAACTCGAATGAGCGAGAAGATGGCTTACATGGCAATGATGAACAGCAACAACACGATCATTTGGACGTCATTTCACACTGCAACTGCTACAGGCCTTTTGCTGGTCTTGATTCCTTTAATAGCTGCAGGATTGAAAATAAAAGCCAATGTTAAGATGCAAGTTAATTAGCTCGTCTGGACTAATAACATAGGTTCTGAAATCTGTGTGATCCGTACCTTCAGCGTAATCTTTAGCTCCAAAGACAGCAGAACCAGCAACAAGAGCATTAGCTCCGGCCTCAATAACCTGCCACGACAGAAAATGTTTGGAACCGGATTCTTACATCCTAAATCGTGCAACTATTTTCACACTCAATGAATGTGTTCGTGTTCCATTAATCAACACGACTAATTTGTTCTTTTTGTTGATATAATTACATCCTAGGAAAGCTCTCAGCACGACACATGTCAAATTATTTATAACGGGGTACATTGAAACTTGGTCCACATACCTTGTACGCATTTGCTGGACCAACTCCGCCATCCACTTCAATCCATGGGTTCACTCCCTGCAGTAATAACAAGCAAAACTGTGAATACCTCTTGCGTTCACATAAAGTGTCTGAACGGAATCCCACAGCGGGAGAGAGGGAGAGAGAGATTGAATCAAGGTGAATTGGGATTATACTTTCTCCACACACATTCTTCTCAAGTCTGCAATTTTCTTCACTTGGCTTTCTATGAAGCTCTGCCCACCAAAGCCAGGGTTTACCGACATAATCAAGACCAGATCGACCACTGAATCATGAAAAAGAAAGTCAATATCACCCCATTTCACGAGATGATATATCAGATGAGTTAACAATAAGCAACAATCGTCTTTTCTTTTTGTACTCTCCCTTCCCATGCATTAACTCATCATGTAAAATGCAAAATTGCTTGAGAACAGGAGTATTCTGGCAGAATTTCGAATATAAGTTGGCCTTTGTGATCCCATACAAGTAAAATACACCACGTAGGGGGACGATCCTTGACCATATAATATCACTATGAATCAATTTTATAAAGCACCACCATGATTATATTCCCCAAATGAATCAGAACGTATATAATATCCAAAAGAGAAGCTCACCATCGAGGATATACTCAATTGCCGTTAGAGGGGTGCCAGGGTTGAGCACAACTCCAGCTTTAGCTCCCAGACTCTTTATCTGAATTACAACAAAAGTATAGGATTACTAAAATGAACTTGTCGTACAACCATATTATTTTCTGGTAATACTTTCATGATTGCAGGGATAAGCTTAAATGCATTCTCTTGAAAAAGGAAAAGCAACTAAATTGGATCGTGTAGCCCTAGCTTTGCTTCACCATCTATGTATATCATACTTCTTCACTTCTCACCACCACAGGAATATTACATCCCATGAATTCGTAGTAGAGACAAGATAACACAAACCAAATTCAGAACAGTAACGCAGCTGCATCAGTTCTTTAACAAGTATGCCATTACGAGGATATGAGGGAAACCTTACCAGATTAACTGAACGGTGTAAATGGATGGTGGAAGATTGTTCAGCATGAACACTGACTATGTCTGCTCCAGCTTTGATAAAATCTGGCACTCGCTGTTCAGGCTCCACGATCATCTGCAGCGCTTCAATTTCACATTAGCCATTGCTCTTTATTCAAAGCCTATCTAATAGATACCAAAACCAGCAGAATGAAAAATACCAGATGCACGTCCAAGGGAAGGTCTGTCACAGGACGCAAAGCATCAACCACAAGAGGTCCAATGGTAATATTTGGAACAAAACGGCCATCCATCACATCGACATGAATCCAGTCACAACCTGCCAACTCTACAGCTTTTACCTGGATCAAGTGAGAGTCAAACTCTAATGCTAAGAGTTTCAATCTTATAATTCAACACTGGAAAATCTGATGCAACAATTTTTAAACAACGTTTTTGCAGTAAAACATAATACAAACATTTCAAGGTTTACATAATCCGTGATTTCGCCTATAATCCAGAAACCGAAAAAGAAATACATGCTGACAAAGATTGAAAAAAAAATAGAACCTGCTCTCCCAACTTGGCAAAGTTAGCAGAAAGAATAGATGGTGAAACAATGATGTCACTTTTCGAGAATTTATCAACCCGAGATGAAGCCTTCACCAGAGTCCTACATCTCCTCCTAAAACCGAAACGATAACAGAAGCAACATCAGAAATGCAAATGATCATTCTTTTCCTTCTTCCGGATAATTATTTGCACTTCAAGTTCAGCCAAGCTTAATTGCAAATCATCAGGCACAAATTTCAAATACCAATTCACTAAATTCAATGACCATAACATCCATTCGAGCAAAGAACTCTGCTTTTCACAAACAAAGTCAAATGAATACACTCCCACGATCTCCCATCTCAAATTTCCAACAATTTCTTAACGTTGTACTACTTTCCTCAGCTGGGTTTCATCCGAAAGCACGAGTTTTTCTATCCTGGAACTGAAAACCCGATAAACAAAACCAAACCCAAATGGAATTCAAACGAAACAACGTTAGCCAAATAAAAAAAACAATACCTTGTGAAGGTCAGAGAAGTGGGTTGAGAAACAGATGGTTTTTGAAGCTTAAGACCTCCGCCGAGTCCGCTGATCTGCTGGGACTTGAGAGTTGACGAACAAAGTGAAGCAGCCGACATCTTTCCCTTCCCCGAATCTCTGTCTCTCTGGCTTCAACGGTCAGCTGGTGGCGCAGTGCTGCAGAGAGGATTGAAAAATCTCGGAGAAATTCAGGAAGAAAAAACGCGTGGCCGACACGTGTAGTTCGCGGTTTTCGTTGGGGATTTTTCTTATCTGCAATGGTTGGCGCTCTATTGTGCTTGCTTGTGATTGTGTAAACTTGCAAGTGGGCAACGACAGTTTGTTAACGTTTGTTCAAAGTGGCTCTTGAAGTAAAGTAGAGGCCTTTTTGCCTACGTGGGGATTTATGGCTTAGTTTATTGGATCGAGATCTACTATGGAATTCTGTGTGTTTGGAGTTTGCGAACTAAAAGATTCGGACCATTCAATTTTAATCTTACTGTTCCTATTAACACATCTTACCAGCCCACTTTTTGAAAAAATGAATGACCGAACCGTCTAAATCTCTTGGTCCAGAATTCCAGACACAAAGGTCCAGAGTGAACCTCATTCCTAGTTTGTTAACGTTAGTCCACTCATTTCTTAGGTTGTTTCATAACTATTTCGCAGATCAGTTTGGACTTGACCATTTCAATTACATCGAAATAATGTTTTGATCTTTGTTTGATGAACTTATGAGTGTTGAGATTGAACTTGTGAAATTGAATAACAGTATAACATATCGTGTCTTATAAGTCATTTGAGAGGGGTGATATTCTATAAGACTGGTTTGGATTCAATTTCGTCCATGTCTAATCTCAGTTACCAACACCCGATAGGTATGTTTCTCTTTTAAGGAAAACGACTCTTTGAACAATGGATTAGTATATTTGGCAATGTCTAATCTCCCTAAATTAGAATTTCCTTAAAACCATGAACCATTCAGGCTCTTCATACTATTAATCATTAGATTTTCTTAGTTATGAACAAAATATCTTCGTTAATATCTAATTAGATTTACTTGCCTAATAATTCAATGGCCAATCATTACGATGAGTTATAGAGTTGTAGTTTGTGTTATAAATCGTTGAGTTTAGTGGAAGAGTAAACTATCAAAATTTGTCTGATTTTCCCTATGAACTTATTGAGAAAATTAAAGACTCAAATTAAATTTGTTGGCCAATTTCCTCCGTCAAATATAATTACGTGCATGTATATAAGAGGAATTTGCTAATCCATACCCTACTTGGGAGGTGTTATCTACAAATCTCGCTCACATGCCTCAATCATGCGGGCTTTTTTAATCCTCTCTTCATAACATTTTATGATCTATTAGTTCAAAACTTGGCATCAAACATTGCCCAAGTAATCGAGCCATTAGCACTATTATCCACTTGAAGCTAAGAGGGGTCATGTTCGACTCTCATAGATAACGAATTCAGTATCTAATATTGCAGTTGTGGGTTGCACCATCCGGTGAGGAGCAGTGTGTCTCTTTCTCTTAAGTTTAAAGTTTGAACCACCATTCCCTCCATAATAAAATAACAAAAAATAAAAGAATAATTAAAATAAACAAAAAAAGAGAGAATAAAAATGTTAAAACAAACAAGCAAGTGGTTTATAGGCCTTCATCTTCTTTCCACCTACTTCGTCCCGCATTCACATCATCTCTCCTCTCAAAGTCTAGTCCAGACTACCTCGTAGTACAGAAAATGAACGGTCTAAATTGAATTGAGAAAATATTATTTTTGCTTACTTGCCAACCTACGAGTTTTTTCCTTATAACTTGCAGGCTATGTTTAAGGGAGGTTCCGTGCCTGCATTTGAGAATCACAAGCCATGGTTCCCATGTATTTCGCGACAGCTTGGTTCAACGATTATGTTTGCACCTGAACCCTGCAACATCAGCAGGGATTTGGTTTCTTTCAAACCTTCAAAAAGCTAGCAGCATCCGCTACTCGGAGTCGGAACCTGACAGTGGCATTTCATAGGAGTCTCTTGGTTCCATATCGGTGATGGAAGGGGGTAGGTCTTGATTAAGCACGTTTCTAGCCCGGTCTCTCCTTCTTCGTCTACTTTCATCCTGTAAGACGGAGATTAAACATGTCATCGGAATGATCTAGACCAAAAACATGGGTGAAGTGTACTTAAGTACTAAGTTGGTCTGTTATTTTTTTTGCTCTTAATGCTCACCGTGGAATTTGGCTGATTTGGTTGACTTGACACTGGAGTTGCTTGACTCCTCCGAAGCCAGATGGTACCGAAAGACATCAATGCGGCTAGAAGCAGCATTGGACCAAACCTTGGATCTCCAATGCGATCATAGACTCCGCGTAACATTCCACGGATGCTCTGCATGATCGTGTTTGTTGAAGGAATTCTTTGGACACCAGCTGACCATATTGGCTCTGAATCCTCAGGAACCAAATGAGGAGTTCTTGTTCTCTGCAACGGGAACATAAAGTAAAGCTCCTGAAAAAAAGTAGTTTATGAAACTGCTCGTATGAGAAGGTCAAGTATATTTACATAATCAGGAAGATCTCTGGAGTCGCCATCGTTGATTATTTGCGAGATCCATTTAGTAATCTGCATGAAAAAGGTGAAAATGAAGCAACCAACTTAGAGAAAATTTGTATTCTGTGACGTCTGAGGCATCGATTGTAGCTTAAAGTATTACGCAAACTCAAGGAATTCTCAAAACAGAGTTAGATACCTCCTGAGTATCATCTGAACCATTGTACTTTGCCACAAGCTGTGATGCAGGATCTAATTCCTGGTCTTGCACTGCATCCCATATGCTTTTTGGCTTCTTCTCGGGCTTCTCACTCTCTTCTGTCACATTCCTCTTATAGCGTACAATAAATAACTGAGGAACATCAGTCATATCTGTCCTTTCTCCACAAGTTTCATGACTGTTTTCAGATTGGAGGAAGAAGAGGCAATATTTCTGAACAAAAATTAAATCATTTGTCACACAAAAGTTTCAAGACCACACTTAATGATATAACAGTTAGAAAGGCAAACAACACACAAAGGTTCACCTTTTGGGCTTCTCCGTCAAGCCAAGCAAATGTCAGTCGTTTGCTTTTAAGCGCTTCTGCTGCTCGTGCTATAGATTGCTCTTCATCAGCTGACCTTGACTCAACTTCATTTGACAATTTCTCTTGAACCCTGCGAATGGCCTATCAAACTTATGTCATTCACACCAATTGCTAAGTTTTGAAAAACTTGAAGGTTAGATTGCATAGAAAACTCATAAAGTCAGAAGTTTTGATTGCTTCTCTGAATATAGTAACTTTTTAGAATGCATGCATATTGGGTTTAGGATTTCTATAGACATAACTTGTTGATCTACAGCCGACATCTGAAACAACTCTAAACAATAGACACAAACCAAAAATTAGAGCAATATTGTGAAAAAAAAAATTGACAGGAAAGACACTTACTCCACGCATGTTACTGAGTTCTGGGCTATGCCTCCCTGCTATAACAGCACAATACCAAGTCACGGTATCATATCCAGCACGAGAATAACCTCGAGAATCACAACCCAATTCCATGGATGTTGTACTCCTCAACTGAGGTAGCTCTGAAAGAATGTGTGAGAAATAAATGGGAATTAATTAGTCTTACTGCATATTACTACAAAAAGTTCTAAAGTACAATTCACTACCACCAGAAAATTTGATGCATTATTTTTTGTTACGTAGATCCACTAGTAAATGAATAGGGAATCCAAAGCAGCTTATTGAATATATTGTATTGTCTGAAGTTCTCTGAACTACTTTTTGAGAGTCCAGGTATATTGCTAATAGGTTAAGGTCAATGCCAACCTATGTAAGCTTTGTAATGCACTCTTTCATATTAAATGAAGAATGTCGCAAGAAGATAACAGTACCTTGTTGTTTATTTTGCTCCATAATATGTAAGAACTGTAAGTAGTTAACAGATCCTGCAAATCAAAACATATGGCTTTGGTTATCACATGAAGCACAAAAGTTTATAAAATTGTTATAGAGGGTTAAGAGAGTTACGTACCGTGGTACACAACAGGTTTGACACCAGGATCTTTCAAAATCACTATAGCAGGTGCAGATTCCACCTCAAACCTGTTGGAAAGCATAAGAGTTCTTCTGAATCACAGATGCATAAATTTTGGTATCCAACTTATGGCAATAGTTCAAGTTCCAACTCACAATAGTGGTGTTTGTGTTATTATAGACTCAGTTCATATAAAAATTTTGAAAATCTGAAACTGTACTCTTTCAGGAGGATTAATATTAGATTAGCCACTCTTCACCAAAAAAAAAAATTATTAGATTAGCCACTCACGAATTAAACCAAAAGGAAGATTCCTCTTCTTGCCACAGCACGAATGCAAAAGAAGCATGAGCCCAATAATTTTTAGCAGCTTGGCGTATGAATGGAGCAGCACGCACCCCTGTTTTTGAGAAGAAAATGACTCTTACCTATGAGCCAGAAGAACAAAACCATTATCCAAGTGGCAGGTCAAAAATATTAGCAATAGATAGCAGCATGTTGCGGAGGCATCTATTTATACGTTATTCAATTTAAATGCATTAGAAAAATATTGAATCTGCAAGTGTACCTTATGAAGACTAACTTTTGCTAGAAACTTCTGCCCCTGAAAATTGAAGTATGCATTCATATCATTTTGAGGTATGTTAAAGGGTGACGGAAAATAAAGAGCAGAAAAGTGAAAAAAAATGAAAGGTGAATTAATAATACGCCTAAATCAGTGAATCAAAAGTAAAATTAGATGACAAAAACAGATTGGATAACCTTATACTGCATCAAACTTATATTTTGAACAAAGTTGTATTTAATCTTAAGTTAGAGAGGAGAAGGAAAGAAATCTTCTCATTGAATTACCAGTGTCTCCTTTGAGTAGTAAAGAATACGAGGCAAACCAAGTATGGTTGTTGCAAACCAATCTGTGACTGAATCAACAGAGAGATCTCCTTCATACCTGAGACAAGAATCAGACTAAGATGTCATTCCATAACAAATGAAGGAAACATGACGTGCTTGATCATATCAAGCAAGAAGGAAGACAGAAAGAAAAACTTGCCCTTATATGTAGATATAGCATAGTATCTAAAATCTTCTGCCATGGAAATAAAAAATCAATCTTTACAATATTGTGCATGTCTACTACATGTAGTAGTAATCTTACAGCTTACTGAAAACCTCACCTAATAAAACAATTGGCAGTTTTACACCCCGGTGGAAAAGCAACAAGAGAAGGAATGCCTGTAAGAGATTGATATGCAGTTAGAAACATGA